CACATTAGAAAAATGTATAACCCTCCTTGAAAGTGTCGTTTAGAGAAATGATAGCCACAAAAATTTCTTCTACAGTGCTTAGTGTCGTGAATTCACTGAATTCACCTGAAATCTGGATATGCTGTTAGAAGAGGGTATTCCATTTCCTGATCATTATTTTAAAATTCAGAGCTCTTTTCAGAATGTTGCTAAGCCTGAAACCTTCCTTTTCAATGAAAGCTGGCTCAGAACTTCTTACTTTTTCCACAACCACTCCAAGTACCAATTGCGGACGATTAAGTGCAATAACAAGAAAGTAGTTAATATCACAGATTCTCCAACACCTCACAGAAGCTATCATTCAGTCAGCTTTTAACAGGGCACTTAATCTTTTTCATTTTTCTATATATTTAATCATCTTTTTTACATTCTGGTCATAAAACAATATCCTGAACATTTTTTATATTTAAAAGCACTGACTTTATAAAACAGAATAGATTATCTTCTTTCTCCCAAATAACAGTTACTATCTTTCTTCTATTTCTTTTTTTAAGATTTTATTTATTTGAGAGAGAGAGAGAGAATGTATGCGTGCACGTGAACCAAGCAGATTCTCTGCTGAGTGCAGAGCCCAACACGGGGCTCGATCCCATGACCCAGGAGATTGTGACCTGAGCTGAAACCAAGAGTCAGATGCTCAAAGTGACTGTGCCACCCAGGTACCCCACTTTCTTCTATTTCTAAGATACAACCTTTTTTTCATATTTTAAATTTTTGAAATCAGATGTCTCTTGGAGTTGGTGACTTCTTGGCACCGTATCACAGTTTAAGGCTACATTTTTCATCAGTAATGGTACATACAATAATGATGTGTCTTACAACTAAAGGCATCTTAGATCGATGAAACGCCATAGTGCCTGTCATCTGTAGAATATTTTTTCTAATTTCCCGAATGTTTCAGTTTCATCCACTAGAATGTAAACTCTGGTGGGACAGGGTTCATTTCTATGTCTATTACTATATTTCTATCTATATGGAAATAATTACTATTAGTAGTAGAATATCTATGCAGACATTATAAGAAACACTAAAGTTTTTTAAGCAGTTACTAAAATGCCAGGTACTGTGTCAAGCACTTTATGTGTATTTAATTCTAACAACCTAAAATTTGTTAGTACTATCATCTCCAATTTACAAATGAAGAAACAAAGGCATAGAGAGGTTAAGGAAATTAAGGAAATTGCCCTAGGTACTGTTCACTGTTTTATCCCCAACATAAAGCCTGTTGCAGACTAAGCATTCAATAAATATTTACTGAACAAGTGAATGAATGAGAAATGTAACAACAGCCCAGTTAGACAAACAGGGTCGTTACTAAAGTCACAGGGAAAATGCACAATAAATACAAGCTTGAAAGGTTAACTACTTATACCTGGAATCCTAGCATCTGTGGTATGGTAGTTGAGTCAAAAAGTGGCTCAGAGTATCTGTTCTGAGTCAAAATACCTAAATTCAAATCCCAGCTCTGCTCTTAGTGATACATGACCTTGAGCTAAGGTATTTATGCATCTATATATCTAAGCTTTCTCACCTGTAAAACGGAGATGAAAACAGGACCTATACTTTCTAAGGTTGTTGTGATGATTAGAAGTTAGAACAAAAAAAAGACCATAACATAGTGAGTGAGGTCTAAACAAAGACAGTCACATTATTTGGAAGTTAATTAAACAAACAAGATGAGCCTCTTTAGCTCCAGAGGTATCTTCCTGATTTCGAACCTCTTCTAATCCTGCTTGAGGTTTGGCATTACCAGGCAATCAATGTCAGCAAATGAGGATAATTTAGGATCCCGGGACTAGCTAGAATGTCCTAGACAGAGAAAGTTCTTCTAGGCATCTCTAGGTTAGTCAGTGGCCATTTTCTCCATCAGAGGGGACTGGGCTAAGAGACTACAGCATATGGGGACTCGCTCTATATCTCTCCACTTCTGAGGACAGGACTGCTGCTTAAGACAAGGCTGACTGATGATTTACTGCTCAGCTTGCTCTCTCCTCCTGACTATGACCCTGAAAAGGGTAAATATTTAAACTAGTTGGGAGGTGAGGCAGAGTACTGGAGCCAATTGTCAACTGTATAATATCCTACCTTGCATTAAAGCAGGGGACTTTCTGTGAGTTTCTTTACCTATAAAGCACTTAGAATAGTTTCTAGTACCTAACAAGCACTAAATGAATATTACCTAATATCATTATTAGCCCAGTATAATTTAAATCTCTTCCCTACCTCAGTGCTTTTGCAGACTAAGCATTCAATAAATATAATATAAAATATAAAAATAAATAATCCCTGATATAATATCTATTTTCCAAAGAGCTCTGCTACTTTAACAGCATTTTCAATTCTCCCAAGTCTTACAGAGATCATCAAAGCACTTCATAAAGGGAATCTTACAACATTTTCTCCAACTCACAATATGAATTCAGAACACCCATAATTTAAATGGCATTCAGAAAAAAAGTAAACAACAGGCTTATTTATTTTTCAAATCAAGAAATTTAATGGGGACAGGGAGGAGGAGAAAATAGTGGTTGTAACTGGATACTTTTATAAGCATGAAAAAATCTTTCATTCTGAAAGCACAAATATTTCTAAAACTAAGCAAACAATATATCAATGCTTTATTTACAATGTGCTTCCTGGCTGCAAACCTCAGTTTCATGGCTAACTTGAATAACTTCAAATAGTCAAAATAATTGATTTAACACACACAGGTAACAGGGACTAGAGTATATCATAATTCTCTGCTCAATTTGTTAAGCGTTTTAAGTTTAGAAATTAAAATCTTGATAAGAAGAAACAGTCTTTTTATGCACTGTCATTTTTTAACCAGTCATATGGGTTTGACCTGAATGTTATCACAGAAAACATAAAAAGAATAAACAAATTAAAGCAATAACTATTCTATAGTCCAATATTATGTAGAAATGCCTCCTAGTTTATGGAGTTCTTAATCTTTCTATGTTTTCTATTTCTTTAACAATGCATAAAATTGGTTTAGTATCTTGGGAATTTTATACTTTTGGTATCTATCAATAGCTGTTTTTTTCAATTTCTAGGAACTGTCCAATTCAAATAGCTGAAGAACAAATATATAAATGTGGAGGTTTTATATGTTTCGGTTTTTAAGTGCCAGCCATTCTAATTAGATAAACAATCACTTTCTAGGCAATGCTGGCCATCACACAATTCTAAAAAACAAAAACAGGAAAAATAAAACCCCACAAGTGAAAACAGACTATCACTCTTTGACATTCTTATGGCTATAAAAAACAATCTATGTAAGACTTAGTGCACCTAAGGTAACAGCTAAGTCTCTACTTTGGACCATTAGCATTACGTTTGTTTATCAGCCTCATTGTTGTTTTGTTGTTTTGTTTTGTTGTTTTGTTGTTTCCTTCCTTCCTCCCTCCCTTCCTTAAGTAGGCTCCACACTCAGCGTGGAGCCCAACGGGGGGACTTGAACTCATGACCCTGAGATCAAGACCAGAGCTGAGATATCAAGAGTTAGACACTTAACTGAGTCACCCTGGTGCCCCTCATTCTTGTTTTCTGAAACATCAATGAACCTGACCAAAAATTTTTCTATACAAAGGAAACACCATAGAATTTATTTGACCTTGGTTTGAATAAGACACTGAGGGAGGGAGGTATACAATACACAATATGATGAAGACTATTAGGGGAAATGATATCTGGAGGCTGCAAATCACTAGCATCTCTAAAATATTTGCAAATTCCTACTGGGCCAAATTGCCTGCAAAAATAGGATATTCCTATCAAGTGCCCTGTCTGGTTTCTCACACCATTTTATTTCAAAAGCATTTTATGAGAACTCTGCTACATATACTACCTCCCATCTGGTTCATATTTAACAGTGTATCCCACCCTGTTCCTTTTTAGGCTCCAAAAATGTCTCTGATGTCACATAAATGTGGCAGGTCACACTGCTTCAGCAAACTTCTCTGGCTTCTTTTTCTTCTCTTGTAGTTAAGGTGAACTTGAGCTATTTGTAACCTTTTGTGACACCTCACCTCAGAAGTAATAAAAGAGTCCAAGTACTTCAACTCATAAAATAAAAAGACCAGTAGGTATTTATAGGATATCAAATGGGTAGAGTGAAGAGCAGGGCAGACTACCTCCTAATAATAGTCTCCTAATGACAGTTCATAGTCTCATCTGATGAGGCAGCTCTACCTGGGAAGAAAGAGAGCACCAATGCCTCTTACAGACTTTAATACTGGGAACCTAAAAGGTGCCTTCTACCATCACTGTAATTATCATCAGCAAAACTTTTCTTTATTTTTTTTTAAGATTTTATTTATTTATTTGTCAGAGAGAGAGAGAGAGCACAAGCAGGGGGAGCAACACGCAGAGGGAGAAGAAGCAGGCTCTCCAATGAGCAGGGAGCCCGATGCAGGACTCGATCCCAGGACCCTGGGATCATGACCTGAGCCAAAGGCAGACGCTTAACCGACTGAGCCACCCAGGCATCCCAAGCAAAACTTTTCTAATCAATATATCCCATCAAGAAGGTATGACAAAGCATACAAATTAACATTCTCCACATGAAGTACTTGTAATATATAATCCTTAAAAGGACCTCTAAACATTTGTAGAAGAAAAAAACACATACTTGTAAACAGTTCAGATACACACACACATACACATACACACACACATATATACATCTGTATACATATATATATGTATATATACACACACCTGTTTAAAATGATATAATCTTTATTGCTTGAGATTCAGGAACAAAACTATTAATACTAATTTTTATTCTACTGTAACTATATTTTAGGAAACATAATCCAGAGAATACTAAAATCAGTAAAATAACACCTTTATTATAATTGGTTTTACTGTATTGTATAATTATTCTTAATGGAGTTTTATTTACATTTATCATATGTATATAACAACCCAAATGTTGACAGGCAGTACTAGGGGTCTCTGTAAATAATAAGCTATAAAAATTAACTTAAATGCCCCAAATGGATATCAGTGGTTTTAAAAAAAATGTATATGAAAGTATTATAAAGTGATAACATGAAATAGTTGGGTGTAAGAGAAAAAAACTATGTGAATTATAAAAATGCTTTATTTAGGCTAAATGTATTAATAAATAAAATTTGTGTATGAAATGCTACTTACTTTACAATGTAATTGCCAATATTTTAAATATTTCTTACCTGCCCCTTTCAACTGCTAAGGCATCAAGTTCATCAAAGAAAATAATGGAAGGGGCCACTGCTCTCGCTTTTCGGAAGATCTGGTGAAAAGAGTGCCATATTAGCTAAAGGTCAGCAAACTTCAGAAAATTCTGCAGTTGGCTTTTGTTTGAAAACTATGTTAGGAACTAAATCTATTACATGCAAGTCAACCAGCCTAATTGTGACCTTCGCCGGTAACTTCTCTAAACTTCAATTTCTACATCTAAAAAATGGAGATAATGATAAATACTTGCCTCAGAAGATTATTTTAAGAACTGAGTTAAAAAAAGAATGCAAAGCATTTAGCACAATGTAACATAGTAAGAGCTCAGTAAATGACAGCTATTATTAACGATCATAAACACGTTTAAAAAAAAAACCATAAACATGTAAAATCAATTATAGCTTAGCATATAAAATACCCATAAACCCAAAAGCCACACTCCTTGCTCATTCCTCTGAAGACTGTGCAGGAAAGTAATGGTTGATGTAAAGCCAGAACAAGAAAAATGACCAAACCTTGGAAGAGCACAGACTAATTAGACCAGAAGTCAATCAGACTATCAACAATAGGGACTGGCCAAATAGCCACAGGGGCAAAATGTGGAAACAGGCTAGAAAAAGTCAGCACAAGCAGAAAGAAATCCAAACGTGTGTTATCTGTAACCTAGGCCCCCATTTTCTGGTCACAAGGATCACTACCATAAAAATAAAGAACAGTTACCAAAACATTAATATTAATAAACATTGTCTTTTTCTTATTGGAATCAATGATAATACTGTTGTTAATATTTCCTACAATTAACACTATCTACATTTTAAAGGAAAAAAAAAGAACAAAAAGTAACTTAAGATTTTTTCTTAGATGAAAAACCAAGTATTCCAATCTCTAATACTCTTGGGTTGGCACCCAGGTATTCACAAATGGGAGACCATCCATTCCATTGCTGTTAGTGTGTTCTTGTCCTTGCTTAGCTTCTGTAAGAATACAGGGTGTCTGTGTGAGGCAGGCCAACCCCTGCCTAGGAAAGCCAAGACCTGTGGTCAAATTGCTGTAGCTACCCAACTCCAAGTGCCCTGATTTTGCATGAATTTACCAGTTGTGCAGCTTCCACAATATGAATGAGTGGCCCATCAATTAGGCACTGGCTTTAAATCTTAGAAGGGGGGATGCACTGTCTAAATCACCAGGCAAAGGTAAAATAATTAAAATAAGGAGAGTACAGTGAAATTTTCATATACTAAGGCTTATTCAATTTAAAGGACTACGTAATTTAAAAGATTTAAATCTCATTCTGAGATCAAGCAATCTCTGTAAGTACAGATGTTTTGTTTTGTTTTTTTAATGAAATGACGGCAGTTGTTAAAAATCTTCATTTGGTAAGACTGAAGGCTGGTAGTATTATGATGTTTAAACACAAAGTATTGTAGATGATCGAAACTGCATTTTTAAATAATAAAATAATGTTTGCCTGAAGAACAAATATAGCAGAATTTAGATTTGGAAATTTCAGAATCTATAACCCAAAACAAAATGGAGACCATATAGAAGGACAGAAGGATGGTTCCCCTATGCAGAGTTCCACTTCAAGGCATAATCATCTTACCTCTCTAACTGCTCTTTCAGATTCACCAACATATTTATTCATTAATTCAGGCCCCTGCATGAAAAGAAAACAACTGTTCAATGTCCTGGTAAATGCAACCACATGTATGTCTTTCGATGAAAGAGAAAATGAATACATAAAAGAAGAAAAAGAGGAAAAAAATAAAAATCTGCTCTTAACTAAATTGGCTCCTTTAGCATACTTATTTTCATTGGATGTTAGCTATGCCTCAAATATTAAAAATATTTCCAAAATATTTTGGAACATATTCCAAAAACTATACATCAATGCAAAGGAAAGGCTGTGACTAAACATAATAGTTTAACTTCTTCTTCTTCATCTATCTGTCAACGCATATTTTTACTATTTATCAGGTGTGGTGCTAGGTACTGAAGAGAGAACAGTCTAATTTGGAAGACCAACAGAGATACCATCCATGTATTCCCAGATCTAACCAGTGGCTGGTTCTGAGCAGGTCTACATGTCATTCTGGATCCTAGTCCACTAGATCAATATCCCTCTCTGACAAGAAACAAGACCTCAGGGCTATTCTTCTTATGACTCCATAATAATTCCTGAGAATGGAATGGAAGTCATGTAATCCATGATATTATCTTACAGTTCCTGAGTATTTCCTGTATAAATGCCACTCTCGAGCTCTCTGCTCTCACTTGACTTGGCCATGTAGACACTGACTATATGAATCTGCAGGGCTAAACATGCTCTTCTCAGCTGATTTAATAGAGTACAGTGAGAGAAAGTTCCCACAGCTGAGAAAGACATGTGGCATTAGAGCACAAACTTTATACCAGTGTCTGAAGGGAACAGTTGTGGTCTCAGGACAACAGGGTTTTGTTGTTTTGTTTTTATTTATTTTTTATTATTTTTTTTATTTTTGGGGGGTGGGGCAGGGGCAGAGGGAGAGGGAGAGAGAGAATCTTAAGCAGGCTCCACACCCAGTGAGTGAGCCCAACACAGGGCTCAATCTTACAACCCTGAGATCATGACCTGAGCCAAATTCAATGGATGTTTAACTGAGTGAGCCACACAGGCGCCCCTTGTTTTGTTTTCACTATCTCATGACTTTTGTGATGTGATGACTATGTGTCATGAGACAGTAGATAGGTATGCAATAAAAAAGGAAAGCCTACTGTTTTTCATACAATGTATGACACTTTAGATATTTAAGAAAGAAAAATGTTAACATTCAAAAATGTTAAATGTCAAAAAAAAAAAAAAAAAACCCTCCAGAACAAAAAAAATGTTCATCTTTGAATCAGCGATATGCAGTGTATCACTTGGAGATGAGCCACTTTTATAGGGATTCTCCCTGTTGATGGCCAGTTAGTAAAAATTTATAGAACTTTATTACTAGAAGTGCACATGTTTCACCCTTGGTACCCCTTCTAAAATACCTGGACACAAGAAGGGAAAAGAGCTTTTCTATCAGCTGAATGAAGTGCTGAGTGGCAGATATCTGAAGGGAGATTCAGACAGAGGCTGAATGAATGGACACCTTGAAGGTGACAAGAATCATTGTCATTGACACGGTGTGATGCTCTGACTGAGGGTTAGCAGTGTTGGTGGTCCTGAGATTTTGTTCTAAGGGAGTTATCTCCTCTGGCTGGAGGGGGGTTGGGAGGAACGCAGACGGGCGAGTGGACATCAGCACGGGGTAGTGGTAGCAACCACCTAACATGAGGTATCAGAGATCAAGGGGGTAAGGAGAACTTGGGCGCAGTGCGAAGGGTGGCTCAATACGAGGTGTCCCAGTCTGAGTGGAATGAGGAGGGCATTCTAGTAGGGTCTGGACAAGGTATGATATGGAGAGTTCCCATACAAGGGAGCAGAACAGCATGGAGTACTGACACAAAGCAAATGGAGGAAAGGGTCCACATGAGAAGGCAGCGCAGTGCAATATTACACCGACTGTTGTAGCCCCAGTGGGGTAAGGCAGGTATCCTCATGGAAGGGTAGGACGTGGCCAGGTGTACAGTCTGGAAGATGTCAAGGAAGAACATGGAGGGGCAGGACAGGATAAGGAAAGCATTGAGGCGACAGGGTGGCCTTGTACTCAGTATCAGAGCCCTAGTGGAGTAAGAAAAGTACACGTGGGGAAGAGCAGCCCAGCAGAGGTTGCTTAAGTCAGTGGGAGGAGGATGGTGCTACAAGAGGTGGGGAGTGGTGGGAAAGGAAGATGGTGGCATCACCCTGACAGGTGAGGAGTATGTTTGTTCTGGAAGAAAAGGGGCAGAGGCAGTAAAGGGGAATTATATTTAAAAGGACTGATCAAATAAATAATTAAGGATAATAGTAGCCAGGTTCCTCACTAGTAGAGGAGTGGTAAATATTTAAATAAAGAAACTGAGAATGAATTCTGCTGTACTGAACTGAAATTGGAATTACCAGTATAAATTCAAGATTTTCAATATATTTACATAAATAAATATAAAAATGTGTGTGCAGATATATACACCTGTGTGTGTGTACATGTGTGTATGTGTGTGTGTGCATGTGTGTGTGTGTGTGTGTGTATACACACTCATATTCCGGAGCTCTGTTCCCTGGGAGAACCTGAGAGTAGCCGTATCCCAATAATTATAAGGATACCCAGCACCCAGAGCATGGCTTTTAAAGTCTAAAAACTTGGCTTCCAAATTCTCCACCAAAAGATATCAGGGCCTCTTAAAGAAATGGCAGATTCCAAGGCTGGGATAGGCGATGTACAAAATGAGTCTGGAAATCTTACTGCCTAGACAGTAAGAAAGTGCTCAAAGACATGGAAACCTACCATTAACATTTGTTAAGAACAAGCTATTTATACAGCCTCAAAGTAACTACCCATAAAGCAATATTAACTTCATGGGGATAACAGTAATTTTGCAATGGAGAAGCCTGGCAGACACCCCCATAATCAAAGTTAACATTAGTAGCAATGGGACAATTTAAAATCAAGTATCACCTGAAAGGATGCAATGAGAACACAGCATTATTTCTATGAAAAATCTGAATCTAATCATGAGTAAATATCAAAAAAAAAACAAATTGAGAGATATTTTGTACAATAACTGACCTGTAATGTTCAAAACTGTCAAGGTCATGAAAACAAAGGAAGGAGTGAGGAACTGTTCCCAACTGAAGAAGACTTAAGAAACATGACAAACACAGCACATGATTATGGACCAGATCATTTTGTCATAAAGGACAGTATAGGGACAAGTGATAAAACTTAAGTGGTAATAATAATGTTCTTTTCTAATTTGATGGTTGTACTATGGTTATGTGACAGGATGTATTTTTTATAGATATATACACTAAAGTATTCAGGGTGATGGAGCATACAGCAGCAACTTATTCTCAAATGCTTTAAGGAAAAAAAATTATTTGTGACTACTCCTGCAAACTTTTTATAAAGTTTAGACAGTTCAAGGAAGTTGAAGAAAAAAAACACTTGATCCACAGACAGAAATATTAGAGACAAGTAAAAAAGATTTGATACACACAGACCCAGAAATAACAGAAATGATTAAATTAGCAGACAATGGTCTTAAAAACAGGTATTATAAATATAATAGCCACTATAGTGAAACAATCAATAAACTTGAAGACAGAGCAACTATTCAAACCGAAGCACAGAAACAAAAGAGACTTAATAAAAATGATGAGACTTCAGGGATTTATATAACAATATCAAAAGATTTAAAATATGTACATTAGAGATCCAGACAAAAGCATAAGGAGACAAACAAAAATACAAATTTGATAAAATCAATGAAACCACAGATCAAAAAACCTCAACAAACCCTAAAAATGATGGGAGAAAAAAACATCACAAGATCAAGTTGTTGGAGGGCGCCTGGGTGGCTCAGATGGTTAAGCGTCTGCCTTCGGCTCAGGTCATGATCCCAGGGTCCTGGGATGGAGTCCCACATCGGGCTCCCTGCTCCTTGGGAGCCTGCTTCTCCCTCTGCCTCTCTCTCTCTCTGTCTCTCATGAACAAATAAATAAAATCTTTAAAAAAAAAAAAAGATCAAGTTGTTGGAAACCAGCAATAAAGATATAATCTTCAGAGAAGTCAGAGACCATAAAGACACATTACATGTAAGCAGAAAAAAAAGAATCAGTACTGGTTTCTCATCCAAAACCATATAAGCCAGGTGACATTAGGACAAAAGCACTGCAAAAAACAACCGTCAAGCTAGAATAGCATATCCTTAAAAACTGCAAGCAAACTAAAGACTATATCAGATAAACAGAAGCTGAGGGAAAGTATCACCAACAAATCTCCACTACAAGAAATGTTAAAGGAAGTTCTAAAGCCAGAAGGGAGGGGCGCCTAGGTGGCTCAGTAGGTTAAGCCTCGGACTCTTGATTTCAGCTCAGGTTATGATCTCAGGGTTGTGAGACTGAGCCCCATGCTGGGCTCTGTGCTCGGTGTGGAGCCTGCTTAGGATTCTCTTGGGTGGAACCGCCATCTTCCAGTAATTCGCCAAAATGACCAACACAAAGGGAAAGAGGAGAGGTACCCACTATATGTTCTCTAGGCCTTTTAGAAAACATGGCGTTGTTCCTTTGGCCACATACAAGCAAATCTGTAAGGTGATATTGTGGACATCAAGGGAATGGGCACTGTTCAAAAAGGAATGCCCCACAAATGTTACCATGGCAAAACTGGAAGAGTCTATGATGTTAGCATTCTGTTGGCATTGTTGTAAACAAAGAAGTTCCGCGCAAGATTATTGCCAAGAGAATTAACGTACACATATTAAACACTCAATGAGCCGAGATAGCTTCCTGAAGCGTATGAAGGAAAATGATCAGAGAAAGAAGGAAGCCAAAGAGAAAGGTAGTTGGGTTCAACTGAAGCGCCAGCCTGCCCCACCCAGAGAAGCACACTTTGTGAGGACCAATGGAAAGGAGCCCAAACTGCTGGAACCCATTCCCTATGCATTCATGGCATGATAAATGTAAAGAAAATGAAAGACCTCAAGACTGTAAAAATGTTTCTCTTAATTGAGTAGAAGTGTGGTGTCCTTTCCCCCCAAAAAAGATTT